ACCCAGTGGGAAAATAGGACAAAGTGACAGCTCCTAGAAAAGGAAAGGCAAATGACCCTGACATGTATAAAAAGAATATCAATTTCTCTACAGTAAAAGTAATGAAAATGAAAACAATACTGAGATGCCGTTTCTTACTTACAGTGATGGCAAAAATCTAACAAGGTGACAACACACTCAGCTGGCAAAACTGATGGAGGACACTTTCATTGGTTCCTGATAGGAACAGAAAATGATATACAGTCTTACAGAGGTAAAGCACAATAAAATTATATATGCATTTACCATTTGACTCATCAATCTCACGTCTAGGGCCAACCCTAATACAAAAAATATATACTCAAAACTAATTCATTGTGGCATTACCATCAAAAATAACATAGTAGAGTTAGTCCAAATGCCCATCAGTCCAAGACTAACAGAAAAATTATGATTCTTCTACCCAGTGGAGAACTATCTTAAGAATCAGTATGAAATAATTTCAAGGCCATATTATTTAATGGATGAAGAAGGTACATACGGAACAGTATATATGTTACACCACCTTTTATATGAAAGGAGAGGGAGAGAGAAAATTAGAGTGTCTGTGTGTGCATGTGTGTTGTGTATGTGTGAGCGATTCATTTTGTCAAAACAATGCCTCCTATGTCCAATGACGAATGACATGGTTCCATCAAGGGGGTAGACAAGAATGAGGAGGGAAGGCCTGCGATGGAGGAAAGGTTTCTCTGAGTAACGACTTTTATGTGTAAGTCATGTTTATCACTTAAGGTTTGTCAAGAGACCAATGAATGCCAATTATTTCAACAACAAAAATTTATTATCTTTTTAGAGATTTTATTTATTTTTTTGAGACAGGGGAAGGGAGGAAGAGAAACAAGGACCTATGAAAAAACCAATGATCAGTTGCCTCTCACACTCCCCAGCCAGGGACCAGGTCCACAACCCCGGCCCACAACCCAGGCATGTGCCCTTACTGAGGATCAAACTGGTGACCTTCTGGTTCACAAGCCAGCACTCAACCCACTAAATCACATCAGCCAGGGCTGAACAAAGGAAATTTAACAAAAAATTGTTACCTAGGTATAAAATTGTTAACTAGATGACTGAATGGGTAAAAAACCACATACTTTTGAGAGGTCAGTGGCACAAAGGAGAGTATGAGAAGATGCTGGAACTACTAAGTTTTAGAAATTATTAAAATTTTGTTAAGAGCTTTGCTGAGCTGAAAGTCAGACCCTTGACCAGAGGGTCTCTGCTTAGGTGATGCTGGGGTATTTGAGTTCAAAGGAAGGGTCCATGGGCAGGACCTCTGGGGGAAGCTGATCTTGCAAGTTCTTGAAAAACTGCAGACTGGATTTAATTGCTTCTATGGGAAGGAATTTATGTACAGGGGTGTAAAGGTATGGCTAGGGTGATATGCACAGGAACAGGAAGCAGACAAATAGCCCCATGGGGGAAAAAACAGGAAGAAGCAAATCCCTTCTTCCTCTTCCAGTCTTGCAATCTCCCTCTAGACCCCCTTTGAATGATTATAGCAGGGAACCAGCTGGAAAAACAGAAATATAGTTTAGTCCTGGCCCCAGCATCACGAAGCATGTACAGAAGGTTTAAAGACAATAGCTTAACAACCAATACACCATGTAAATGTCTTATATATTTGAAAAATGAAATAAAACCAAAAAGAGAAAGGCAAGCCGTAAAATTGAACAGCAACAGAAACAAATGAACCTAACTGTATAAAAACAATAACCACACAGAAAAAACATTTATTTCAAGTACAAAAAACTTTATTCTTCTGTGATATATTACAAAGACAAAAAGAACTACAAAGATATGTAAAACTTCTCTCAGTATGTTTATTGTTGGTAGTAATATAGAAGTATTTTACACATATTTTAGTACAGTATAAATGAGAACATGAATACTATTGAGAATAAAGATTCTCCATGCAAGCAAACGATGTTCAGTATAGCTCTGACCAGTGTGGCTCAGGTGGCTGTGCATCATCCCACAAAGCCAAAGATCACTGGTTCAATTCCCAGTCAGGGCACATGCCTGGGTTGCAAATTTGGTCCCTGGATGGGGTGTGTGGGAAAGGCAACTAGTCAATGTTTCTCTTCCTCTCTTTCTCCCTCTTTTCCCCTCTATTAAAAAAATCAATAAAATCTTTTTAAAAAGATTTTCCAATATAAAATAAGTTTTTAAAACCCTATATTAAATTTGTACTGGAAATAGTGTGAATTTTTAAAAAGATGTTTCCTTCTTCTACTTATAGGAAGGGCCTAGAATGATACCTAGTAGCAATGAACACAGCTGGCACCCAGAACTTGGTTTCTAAAAGCCATACCCCATTACAAGGAACCAGGGCTCCTTGGAGAAATGGTTGATTCTGTGTCTGGGACACAGAAAGTACTAGACAATATGGGACATTTGTGTCAAAAGTAAAAAATTGACCGAAGACCAAATGAGCCATGACAAAATGACACAAGGAACCAGCTTGAATCAACTGCCAGTGGTCAAATTCAGGACAATCTGGCCTTTGAAAAGAATAGTAATTATAGCTGATTATAACATTTTAAATAAACATTCCTTGGGTCCCCAGTGAAACTCAAAATGAGAGAGAAAAGGGATTAAAAAAATTCTCTGTAAAAGAATGTCTCAAGTACAAGAAATAATAAAAGTACAAAGAATTACAGAAGTAAAAAATCATTTTTGTAACTTCTAATGTAATAATTGACATAGATAAATACAATCTCTCAATGCTAAAACCACCAGGTGAAAGATTTTTGGAAAACCTAATCTCTCCAGAGATAACTTACTGATTGCCAAGGGGAAAATGTACCATTTCAATGGGAGATCTGAAGGGCATCACCTTAATAACATGATCAGACTTAGTAACAGCAGTGCTGGAACAACCTGCCATAATGTGCCTTCCTATGTGACACAATATAAAGTAAACAACTTAACCTACAAAATTTTCATGACAAAATACTTAACCTGATTACAATCAATTCTCTGGATCCAACTGAAAGGAAATACAGAGGATTGAGAAGCATGTTAAATGACACCATGAGCATATAATCAGACAAATCCAGAACGTCAGTCACTCTCAAGAAAAAAAGGTTGGTAGCAGTGTAGGGGAGGAAGGTCAGTGTACTATTGCAAGTTAAAAAGAGTCAGTCATAACAAATAAATGCAGTGTATCAATCCAGATTGTTTTTTAAATGTTTAAAAGATTACTAGGACAATTGAGGAGCTTAAACATTGGCTGAATATTCTATGATATTTTGAATAACTTTTAATTTTCTTAGTTGTGATAACAGTATTGTGATATTAGAAATGACTCATTTTTATGAGATACATTCTAAAATATTTAGGGGTAAATGGTTAGTATATCATCAAGTTATTTACAAATGGTCCACAGCAAAGATATATGAGGGACCCAAAACACCCAAATTATCTTCTGAAGGGCGAGCCCCGTTAGTACAGGCTTCCTCCACTAGGTGAGTGTTCTAGGAGCCCACCTGCATCAGGGCACCAGATGGCGTTCTTGTGAGAGGCTGCATTTGGCTTCAATGAATTTTTTTCTGAAGAATCTTTGTCCATTTCATGATGGATGATTTACAAGTGCACCAGCCTACAAGGTGCTGAGTGCTCAGCAAGTTTTGAGCAAAAAACCCAGCATGACCCTCATGCCCCACCCTTCCTATTCACCTGATCTCACTCCCCATGGCTTTTGTTTGTTTGTTTCCCAGATGAAAACATCATCAAAGGGAAACATTTTGCAAAAGTGGAAGAGGTGAAAAAAAACAGCAGAAGTACTAAAAGGCATCAAAATCAACGAGTTCAAAAACTGTTGAACAGTGGAAAAAATTCTTGATAGGTGTATTGCATCAGATGGAGAGTACTTTGAAGGTGATTGAAGTTTAAACATGTAAGATAAATATACAAGTTTTATAAATAAATTCTGGTTTTTTGAGGGTCCCCCTCATACATATACATAAAGAGAAGGAGAAACATGGCAAAAAGTTAAAATTTGTTGAAATTTTTATAATAAAATGTTAGGGTGGACAAATGTATTATTACAGAAAAAGTTGGAAATATTTAGAAATATTAAAATGCAAGCTTAATGCAGAAAATTAGAGAGGAGAAAAGGGAAAATTTAAAGACCACAATAATCAGACTTAGAGTTGTAATAGCTAACTGACAGATACAGGAGAAATAAAGAAGTGGAAGATGTTCAGTGCTGGCTGGTGTAGCTCAGTGTATTGAGCACCAGCCTGCGAACCAAAGGATCCTCGGTTCAATTCCCTGTCAGGGCCTGGGTTGTGGGCCAGGTCCCCAGTTGAAGGTATGGGAGAAGCAATTGGTCCATGTATCTCTCACACATCAATATTTCTCTCCCTATCTTTCTTCCTTCCTCCTCCCTCTCTAAAAAAAATTTTTTAAATCTTTAAAAAAAAACTGACCAGTAACAAAGTATTGAAGAAATAATGGGAAATTTTTCACAAAGTTGAAAAACATGTCTTCAAACTGAATGAGTCTAATGATTACTAAGCGGAATAAATGGAAAAGAGACTAACATTTAGACTTATCCTGGTGGCATTTAAGACCTTCAGGGACCAACAGAAAAGTCTACAAGCTTCTGCATAAAGGAACAACAATAACAGCACCAGTCTTATTCATAAGCAAAAATGAATGGAATATGTCTTCTAAGTCCAAAGAAAAAATAATGGGAGTATAAAATTCTACAGCCAGCCAAGCTATCAGTTCATGTAATAATGCAAAGTAAAAGCATTTGCAGGTGTGCAGCTCAAACACTTAACTGTCCACATACTCTTTGTTAGGAGTTAAAGATGCTCATCATTAAAATATTAATAATATCAAACAAGAGGAAAATGTCAGATATGGGAAACAGTGCAAAAGTAAAACTCAAGTGGATTATTTTAAATCAAGCCTAGAAAACAATCAGGAAGTTACAATACAAAGACAAAGATTCTACATATTATTAGGGCTCGGAGTCAAGGTCACTGGTGGCTGGTAAACTCACAAGTGTAGACAGTGGGCTACATAAGGGGCAAGTTTTTTGCTAACACCATGAGGGTCCCTGGCCCAATGACTGAGTTTGATAGTAACCCTTGCTACAATTGTAATTTGAATGTATATAAGCTCTAAGGAGAGAAAATGGTGTTTTGCTTTTCCCCATATTCCTTGTTCTCCTTGGGCCTCTCAGGCATTACTTGCCTTTCTGTTTTCAGACCACCTTGATGAAGCCTACTACGAGATCCTAAAAAGGGGCTCACCGAGTGGGTCTGATGTGGTGGGTGCTGGCCTGGGAAGTTCTGTGCGTGTGTGGCACTACCTCCTGAGAACACCCACGGGCAGTCCTGATGGATCTCTACTTCTACGGGGATCCTGAAGAGATTGAGAAGAGCAGGCCGCTGCTGAAAAAGCTGTGACCAAGGAGGCATTTCAGGGTGAATGGACTGCTCCAGCTCCCAAGTTCACTGCCATGCAGTCTGAGGTCGCTGACTGGTCAGAAGGTGCAGGTGCCCTCTGTGCCTGTTCAGCAGTTAGTTTCCTACTGAAGATCAGGACGCTCAGCCTGCCGCTGAAGACAGGGCTGCAGTCCCCACTGCGCGGGCCACTGAATGGGTAGGAACAACCACTGAGTGGTCTTAAGATGTTCTTCCACAAACTCAACAGAATGAAAATAAGGGTGACAGAAAAACAAAGACTTTGTAAAGAAAAAAAAGTCAAAGATCTCGAACATCAATGTATTTAAAAGGACAAATAGAATGATTTTAAGAAATAAACAAAGTAGTAAAAGATGGGAACGGATGCACAAAGATTACTAAAAGAAAAAGGCATATGATAAGGACAGCATGAAACTTTTCTCCCCCGCAGAACAATCAAAAAATGAAACTGCAAAGGCAATTATTTCTTTCACAATAGCATCAAAAAGAATATAGAAATACTTTTAACATATAATACCTATACAATGAAAGCTATAACACATTACTAAGAGACATTTTTAAATAATGGAAGGATATCCCATGTTCATGGATTATAAGATTCAATATTGTTAAGATGGAGATCCTCTGCAAACTATAGACTCAAGGCAATTCTTATCAAAATCCCAGGAGGCTTCTTCGTATACATTGAAAATTTTATATAGTGGAGAGCAGGCTGACAGTTCTGGGAATGGTTGGGGGAGGGGCAGAGCAAAAAGAATAAAAGAGAGAGCCCTAGCTGGTGTGGATCAGTGTATTGAGTGCCAGAGTACAAAGCAAAGGGTTGGTGGTTTGATTCCCAGTCAGGGCACGTGCCAGGTTGCGGGCCAGGTCCCCAGAAGGCAGTGCGTGAGAGGCAACCACATATTGATGTTTCCTTCCCTCTCTTTCTCCCTTCCTTCCCCTCTAAAAATAAATAAATAAAATCTATTTTAAAAAAAGAGAAAGGACTCACAGACACAAACAACAATGTGGTGATTGTGTGGGAGACGGGTCGATGGAGGTGAAAGAGGGTATGGGGGGGATAATGGTAAAAGGAAAAATACTATAAAAAGTATTTCTTTAAAAGGGATTGCATGGTGGTGGGGGGCTGTGCAGAGGAGGGCGAAGGGGGAAGACTGGGACCACTGTAATGGAATGACCAAGAATTTAAAGAAAGGGATTGCAGACAGAAAATAAAATTTATCTCACAATGCAAAGGCCCAAAACAGTTTTGAAAAAAACAATGTTGGAGGATTATAATACTTAATTTCAAAACTTGCTACAAAGCTAAAGAAGTCAAAACAGCTTGGTATTGAAAGCTGTTTTGGTATTACATGTCCGAATAAAACCTCTGACCTTGGGTGGGCTTCCCTGGTTGACAACACTATACATGGGTGTGGCACATCGTTGGTGGGAGAATTAAGCACTATCCATGCAACACTAGGAGAGGACAATGAAAAGCTTGCACTTGTTTTTTCCTAAAATCTGTTATAAATATACTTTTTCCTTTGCTGATTTTAATTGGTAATAAACATTTCTTTAGTGAACTATAACCCTAAATACAACAGCTTTTCTGAGTCCCGTGAGTCCTTGAGTAAATTATCAAGCCTGAGAGTGGTCTTGGGGATTCTTGAAAGGAAAAAAACCTTAGATTTTTGCCTTATACTCACAATAAATTAACTCACAATACATCATAAACTTAAATAAGGTAAAAGTATAAAACTTCTAGATGAACATTAAAAAAAACTTAGTAACCTTGATTGACGCCATAGACTTCTTAAATATAATATACAAAAGTAATGACCCAAAAGGAAGAAAATTGGTAAGTTGAACTTCATCAATTTTAAAACTTCAGCTCTTCAAAAGGCACTATTAAGAAAATAGACAAAAATGTATATGAAAATATGAAAGAAGGGATGAAAATGTCTTCATATCTTATATGTAATAGAAAACATATCTAGAATATATAAAAAATTCTTACAGCTTAATAAGAAAACAAAAAAAACAATTTAAAAATGGGCAAATTTTTAAATATTTCAGCAAAGAAGCTATACAAATGGCTAATAAGATGAAAAGATGCCCAATATCATTAAGAATATGCAAACTCAAACTATAACATAATATCACTGCATACCCACTGAAATGACTTTAATCCACAAGAATGACTATACCAAGTATTGGTAAGAATATGAGAAAATAGCAACTTTCATGCATTACTAGTGGGACTGTAAAATGATACTGCCACTTTGGAAAACAGTTTGGCTGGTAAACGTTAAATATACACTCACCACATGACCCAGTGATTCTACTCTTTACTTCCACCCAGAAGAAATGGAAACCTTTGCTCACAAAGATTTGCAGGCAAATATTACAGCAGCATTGCCCATAATAGCCAAAAACTAGAATTAATTCAAATGTCCCTCAGCTAGTGGCAAATGAATAAACAAAATATAGTGTTTCCATTTATATGAAGGGTATAGAAAAGGAAAATCCATATAGACAGAAAGCAGGTTAGTCCTTGTCTAGAGCCGGAGATGGGAATGGGGACTGACTGGGGAGAAGCACAGGGAACTTCTGAAAGGGAGGGAAATACTTCAAATCCAGACTTGGTGGAGGTCTCATGACCCTATAAAGTTGTTTTAAAAATCACTGAATGTATACCTATAATAGATGAACTTTATGATATGTAAATGCTATCCTATAAGGCTGTTTTAAAAAAATTCCAGAAAAAACAAAATCCTATAGGAAGATATCATGGACCATATGTGAAGTAACAAAAATGAGGTATGGTTTTGATTCACTGGTGGAGTGTACAAATGGAGACTCTTCACCTTGAGTGGGACTTGTAATATTGAAATATAGAAAAGAAATGATCACCAGGGCACTTTTGTTTGGAAATTAACAAATTTTACATATTGTAAAAACATAAACATTTTTGTATATTAGTTTTCAACTTTTAGAAAGAACCTATAGATACAGCATGGAAGATTTTAATTATGGTTTACAAAAAAATACATTCATGTTATCTCCCTTATGATGTTAAACCATAAGAGAGTTCACCGAGGTTGGCACAGGTTGAAGGAAGAAAAGGGACAGTAATGAGCTCATCTTTAAAGAGTGGGGTGTTGGGAGTTAGGAGATAACAGGTGCAAGATGATAAAGCCAGAATAGTGGTTCAATTATAATATTGGAAATTACAGAGGAAACTAATAGATAAACTAAAAAGGTGACTTTACCATCAAAAGTTAGGAGAACAGGGCATGCTGGAATGTTGTATATAAACTCTGCCCTCATACATCATTATGAGTTCCCAGAAAGCGACCAACACTTGGCCTCAATTCCTGTTCTTTGTGAGCTAAAATAGTTGGGGTTCTCCTAGATTTCTATGGACTCTTCCACTTCTTTAGTATAAGTCTCCTCTCTGTCATCATTTAGCTTACACTAGTTTTTAAATTTTGTATTCCATTCAGTCAAAGGGACACACAATAAAAAAATACTATGTGAAGATGGACATGTTTTATTACATGATCTAATTCATTATATTAATTCTACCTACTAATAAGTCTCAGTATTAGGAAGTCGTACTGACTGCAGCCATAAAACACCCTCCAATCTTAAAAGTTTATTAGCAGTTGATGCGATATTTTGACCTCATTTGGATTTAAACCTTTGTTGCTAATTCTCAAACAATTAAAAATGGCAGAAAGGAGGGACGTTACTTATTTAGTTGCCATATAGATCATATACAACCTCTACTAGGTTCCACTTTGGAAAAATACGTGTGTGTGAGAACACACACACACACACACACACGCAGACTGGAAACGGATCTGCTAACATGCGATCAGTAATTATTGCTGAGTGGTAGCATAATGGGCGAGATTTATTTTATTATTTTATCCTCATGGGTTTCTTGAATTGTTTGCCAAAAAAATCTGTGTTAATGAAAAAGGAGAAAAAAATAATTTATTTCCATTTTGGAAATTTAAAAAGCTTGGGCCTCATATGAGGAAAAGGCATGGTGGCCAGGGAAGGACAGAGAGGAGGAGCATTTGTTCATCAGCAGCCAACTTAGTTACAACTCTGAAACATTCTTGTAAGTATTAGGTAAGACCTCGTCTTGGGGCTAGCCAAAATCATCTTATACACTCAAAGTCCTTATACCTAGCAACTCTATGCCTGGATTAGTTTCACATACTTCTCTAGCCAGGGTTAGAAACTTTCTGATAACATTTTAGTAGTAAAACCTTGAAAAACTTTAGAGAGAATCTTCACACTTCATTCAACTCATTATTTAGAAATCAATAAAATGAACTAGGAATAGTACATAATGTAATCCTAGTACAGCCTACCCTGCTGCTAAGTAAAGTTGCTTTCTCTTTTCACTGACCAAACAGTATGGCTTGCACCCAAACAGTCACTGCTTGGGGCCAAAGTTAGAAAGTACTCAATTTCTAATTTATGTTCCATTGACGTTTTGTGGTGGCAGGTATCGATCATTTGGTTTATGCCATCAGATCAGATACTGCAGCCCAGTTCAGGGCCAGGATTGGAACTGTAGGTGGTCAGCCTTTACTTGTACTGGAGAAGAGGTGGTAGGAAAATGATTTATTTTGCTTTTGTAGGGTCTTTTATTACAGACACAGATGTTGAG